CATGAATTAAAAATTTGTGTTTCATCGTTTTGTAAACGGAAGAAAACTTCAACAGTTAACACTTAAGAATTTTTGTTTCATTTTATATATTACATATTGGTGTCATATGAAAGATCATAAAATTTTATGAATTTTGATATATATTTTGAAAAATTCGGAGAACAAATAAAAAAGCTACAAGAGTTTAAAACAATTTGGGGTTATAATGATGTCACCATGATGTCAGCGAAAACATGGTTTGGCCCGGCATGCAGCGTACGAATCCATCCCATCCCTTTTTTCTTTTCTTTTTTATTTATTTTTGGCTGTCAACCCTTCCCTCTATATTTACACTCCTCCACTCCCCTTTCCACTTTTACTCCCCCTTTTAATCCTCCACTACACACAAATAAGAGTCTAAAATCTCCATTTTTAATCTTTTGACTCCTAATCCCAAACCACTACAAATGGTTTTAGTGTAGGAGTTCGGTGAAATACTGGAACAGGAATTAAACACGTCACCAAAACATTAAGAAAAAAAAAATCAAAAATATCACACTACCTAGTCGGATTCCCCAATTCCGACTAGGGGTTGGGTTGCTTCTAAATGAAAATAATTTGGTTTGGTTTTTTCGGATAATCACACATGCTAAACGAAAATAATAATAATACCCTAGTCGGAATTGGCAAATCCGACTAGGTGTTCTTGGCAATGTAAACATTCTAACTTAAACTAATAATAATAATACCCTAGTCGGAATTGGTGAATCCGACTAGGTGTTTAATTGTTTTTTTTTATTAAATATTCACCCTAGTCGGAATTCGGGAATCCGACTAGATGTTTATTTTGGTTTTTCCCGGATTATTGAACACTTCTCCAATTCGAAACAAAAAATATTACCCTAGTCGGATTCCCCAATTCCGACTAGGTGTAATGCTTTTATTTGAAAACTCTAATCTCTAGTCGGATTCCCCAGTTCCAACTAACGTGTTTTGGTAACCTAAAACACTTTCCCGTTTTTTGGCATGTCAGACGGGAAACTCCCGTGTTTTGGTAATTTCCTCTGATAAATAAATACTCTACATCCAATTTATAATTACAACTATTATTTATAAATTGCACAGTATTAAACTTGAAATTTTGTGCTATTTTTTTCCTCTAATTTTCTTGAAGCATTTCATTTATAAAATTTAGTCTGAAACTTGTTCCTTTAATTTTTCAAATAGTATTTCCGTATTTACTAACTTGTCATATAATTAATTAGCGCAAAATTATTATTTTGTAGTGTGTATTAGGGAAATGGAAACAACGGCCAGAGGCTTCAAAGAGTAAAATTTAAGAAAAGAAAAGATAAAAAAGAGTTTTATCTACTCTTGATTGTGGTGATGTACTTACGAATTTTACACATCAAAAGGCAAGAAGAATATGGTATGAGATAGTACTTAATCGTTTTATTTATTTCTTAGTAGGATTTATATTTTCACATAGTTTATATCAATATTAATTCTAGTATTACCTTTTACATTTAGTAAAAATTGTGTTATAATTTTCTAATTACTTCATATATGATTTCGTTATTAGTTTTAAATGTTATTTGATCTCATTAGTCATTTTTGTCTTGGGCATCAAAATTCCTGGAGACGGCCCTGCTTAAATTTCAAATAAACATCTAATGCAAAACGAGCTCATTATATTTTCTTGACAGTTGTCATGCATTGTTTATTTATTATTTGAGCAATGCCCTTCCCATCTTATAATGATGAGAAATGTTGAGGAGATTAGGTTGCTTAAAGAATGGATATATAGGAAGAAAACAATATCATTATTGGATCATTAGCAAAGTGGTTATACCAACCGCACAACTCCCTAGCTAATGATACTAATGTGTCGTATCAAAAGTACATAATTGTTATTAATTAATTATAAATAAATTATGCCACTACCAATTGTAATGTGTATACTGGACCAATGAACATGATAACGAGCTTATATTAAAAGGAATTATTGAACCAACCTAAGTAGAAAATTTATAAAAAAGTAAGTGACTACTTTTCAAAAAAATAAAAATAAAATTATGAAAGAAAAGAGTCCCATCAGAGATATAACTATTGATTTATTCTATTGGGTGTCTATAATTGTAGAAATTGAAACTACCATCCTCTAATTGCAACCGAAGTGTTTTTAAAAGGCCAGGCAATGTTTCTATGTAATACGGAGTAATTAGGTAGCAGCACAGCGTTAGAAAAATGTGGGGATAATTGACATGTACAGAGTACTTGCGGTGAATGTCTTTGTATTTGTATCTACCAGAAAACTTTATAAGCACTACCATACATAATTTGAAGACATTTTTCTCTCTTCCAAATTCCAATATATAGGTAGTTTCCGGATAGAAAAGGAGGTTTAATTTGGATGGTTGGGAATAAGTAAACTGCATTATTGCATACCTAGAATAGTTACAATAATAGGTGATGTTCCATAGGTGATTGGTAGAGTGCAATTCAGTGCATGTAAAGTTTTTTTTTTGTTTAATAGCATGTGATCTCGACTTCGCCAATTCTAGACTCTCAAGAACCCACCACTAACCACTAAAAGAGCAAATCACTAGTCATTGGAGAAACCCTTCATGGCTTCAAAATACCAATCCCATTTGTGTACCTCATCAAATAAGTAATCACCCTCAAATGTACATTGCATCTCTGGAGAACCGCCACTGGTTTATCAACTCTTAGCTTTCAGATTGTTTACAAGAAGCGAACGCCCTTATTGTCGTCGTTTGAGACGAGACAAAATACCAATTAAGATGACACTTCAATAAGCCATGAAGGCTAAATGATCATTATTTGCATTGGTAACTTGAACTTAAAAGCTCCTATAAGAAAAGAAACTTAAGCATTGGCATGGGGTGTGATTTAGTCGGAGGGCTCCCACATGCAGTCCCACTCAAGATATCCCATTTCTGCAACAACTGTTTATCATATTTCATGTGCATTACATATACTGGAGATGTACATAACGTCATAACAAATTAAGTGATGTAGAATAAGTATATTTGAAGGCACAACTTGAAAATTGATAATATTCTTCGAATGTCATTCATAATACTACGTATAACATAGCAACTTTATACCATATATATGCATTTGATATACTAGAGATTTGCACGTTACATTAATAAAATTATGATACAAGTGATATGCATGTCATATGATGAGTACAATAAATAAAATATGATGAGCAGAATGGTTTGAGTGCTATTAAAATGTGCCATACGTATAGGCGAGATGTGTAGAGTAGGTTAATAAAATGATTGTGTTTGAATTCTGCGTATTTTGGAAAACCAGAACATAAATAATAAGGAAATAGTATGCATTGCATACATGGTGCAAAAACCGCATGAAGGCATGTACGTCGCTCGTGAAGGAGAAAAACACTTAAATACCCATAAATAAAAGAGAAAAAATTGCCAAAAACATGGACATTAGAAACATATATGGAGTTATGGACGTTGCAGAAGGATGTTTTTACTTGGACTGTAATTTGCTGGTCTGGTCTGGTCTGATCTGGTCTGGTCTGGTCTGGTCTGGTAAGGTCTGGTTTCTTTGTATTTTTATAACTATCCAAGTCTGGTCTGGTCTGGTCTGGACTGGTCTGGTCTGGTCTGGGGCAAATTACAGTCCAAGTAAAAACATCCTTAATGCACCAAACCCCCTCATGAAATAGAAATTTGGCGCATTAGTCCCCTGTGATTTAAAAAATGCGTCAAACCCCCTGTGTTATTATTAATCATGCGCAAAACCCCCTCCAAGAATAAATTTTAAAATTTTGAAATCGCTTATTTTAATAATATGGTTGAATATGCAAGTAACTTTGTCAAAATTTCTAAATTATACTCCCTCCGTCCCTCAAAGTTTGTCACACTTTGACTTTTGCAGTCTTCTAGGTAGACGTTTGGCCATAATTATCTATTAATATATACCTATAAAATCTATAATAAATTGACATTTGAATAATACATATTACAAAGAATCACATTAAATAATTTTTTGGGATAAAATATAATTAATTTTGAGTAATTAGCGAAAGTTTAACAAGTTTGACTGAAAAAGTCAAAATGTGACAAACTTTGAGGGACGGAGGTAGTACAAAAAAAAACTAACCATTTTTCATTTTTTTTGGAAATTAAATTTGTTCTTAGAGGGAGTTAACCCCCTCTAAGGTCTATTGTAACGATAAAATTGTAACATTTGAGTAAAGTGTTACTAAAAAGTGGTTTATTGTAATGGTTTTAGATATACCGGTACATTAACTTATCAAGTGTTACCTTTAATTTTGTTCAAACGTAACACCGCTATGATCTTGGATAAAGTGTTACACTTGTTAGGTAAGTGTTACAATTGTGAATTTTAATGTAACACTTTTCCAAATACGGAGTGTCAAACCTAAAAAATCAAAGGCGGCAAAAGGAAATTTTTAGAGCATCTTCAATGGTACAATGTGCACGGTGCACACGTGGCATGAGAGATGACCACATAAATATTAGTAAATAAATTATTTCTCTCCTTATTTGAATGATTTTATACAGTTTTGATAAGTTTTTCTCCACAATGTCAAGGAGACCGTCTAATGTTGACATTGTTGTTGACATTGCAGGGAAAAACTTACCAAAATTGTATAAAATCATTCAAATAAGGAGAGAAATAATTTATTTGCTAATAATTATGTGGTTATCACTCATGCCACATGTGCACCGTTGACATTATAGCATTGGAGATGCTCTTACACCACCTTTACTGTAAAAAATCAAAGACGGCAAAACGAAATTTTCTGAAGCGCCAAAAAAAAAGAGTTAGCGCCAGAGCTTTTTCATTAACTTAAGCCTATTGTTTTTCTATGGAGTAAAAAAACCCTACCTAAAGCATTCCAGTTTCCAGAATCTATTAGCGTTCCAGTTTCAAATCGAGAAGCTAAGCCATTCCTTAGGTATCTTTTTTCAGCTGCACTTCACCGCCTCTCCGATTACAGATCTGTTCTGAATTTGTTTTTTCAGCCGCACTCCACCGCCTCTCCGATTCACAGATCTGTTCTGAAATTTCCTTTCTCCCAGCCGCCAAGGTACAATAACTCTTCAATTTTCGCTCACTTGGTTTGTGTAAATCACTCTTCTCTTCATTGAATATCAACCTCTAATTCTTAGTGTTTCATGCCTTCAAATTGACTAGTATAATCACTCGTGAGAGGCAAAAGGAAGTTGGAACTGCTATTTTGTGATTCTTGGGTAATCTCAAGTTTGATTTCAAAGGTATGTTTAGCTAGATTATTTGGTTGATGAATATTGTATTCTGATCCATTCAAGTACGATCTCTGTGATTTTTATTGATGCATGTGCAGTTAAACTAAATTGATATAACACTGATGACTTCTTAAATGATACTCCTTAATTTTTTGATGTCTGCACAATGATACCATATACCATCTAGGGGCCTCAAAACAAGTTATTATTAATATTATACGGTGTATGTAATATTATATTTGGAAATTGAAAATCACACATCTCTTAACTTTCTGGCTTCCTGGACACCCACGCGAAAACAAAGAGGGAAACAAAAGTTACTGTCATTCTTCCTTTCCAAATCAGTAGATCCCATTCAGGCAAGGCGGCAATCCTCGATTAGTCGATTCCTCATACCTAGAGCAAAAGAGAGACAAAGCCTTGACGGCCAAGGCGGTGAGACGCGTATTGGGAATAGTGGAAGAGGCTGTGAGCATCTGAGGCCTGTGACGACTTCGGGAAATTGTGCATGAGTAAAGAGTATACCTAATGACCCGCTTCAGACCTTTCTTAGTCTCTTGTTTTCTACCAATTATATGCTTAGTAATTGATGATTTGATACGCTACAATCCAAATGCCTAGTTACATTTTTCATTATGTAATTTTTATGCATTTTTTCAGTGTTTTGGTAATAGTAATTGTTATTTGCATACATGTTTTGCATAGTTTTTATCCGTTTTGTTTGATTTTACGGTTTTTACTTGTTGTCATTTTACTTATATTTATACCAGTTTAATTAATTATTTTGTCACTAAATATTTAAAGTTGCATTTCTTAATTTTTTGCTTTTATTGTTTACAATTTTTTTTGTTAAATTTCCATTATAAAACAAAATGTAGGTACTGTCATTAGATAAAATTCGAGTGTTGATATACAAAGAGAAAAAGTGTTAACTACTCCTTTAGTGATTTTTTTTACTAATTTCACACTTCAAAAGGCCATAGTATAAATTAAAAAGTACTTTTTTGTGTTCATTGTGTATATTTTATGTTACCTTTAAATTTTTTTTTTGGATGAAAATGTTACCTTTAAAATTTTGTTTCTTATAGGTGTGTTTGTATTCATTTTATCTTTTTTTAAGAGTTTGTATTATTGGATTCACGTTTTTATGAAATGTGAGTATTAACTTTTTTTGCGTGCATGTAGGGTCTCCAAAATACTAAAGATGAAACTTCATTATACTGCAAGAAATTTTTAAAAGAAGAAACCTCATTATGAAAAAGACGAGTCTTTTTATTTGAGAAAGAAGGAATAGTAAATAAATATAAATGAAAAGTAAGTGTTGTATTTTGAGTAAGTGATCTAGTACTACTGAAAATACAATAATAAAAGATAATTAATGAAACATGATAAAATGGTAGATTAATTCTAAATAAGTTGATGAGACAATGGCGTTTCTTTCGTACCAAGTCAATATGTTTTTATGTAAATATTGCAAGTTTCATGATTTAACTTTAGGTCATGGATAAAGGAAGAAATGTTTGGTGGGATTTTCCCAAGTGGGCTGATGAGTTTGAAAATGGAGTCGATAACTATCTTGACAAAGCATTCGCAACTGAAGCACAAGGAGATCAGATTTGTTGCCCATGTAGCAAGTGCATGTACCGCTACTGGTTACGTAGAAATGTTGTGAGGGAACATGTAATATGCAAGGGTTTTATCCCAAGGTTAGAAAAAGAATCAGACTCAAGGGTCAACATGGATAGCTCACAACATGATTATAGATCCGGAACACATTTTAATGATGATATCAACGGGCTATTACAAGAGACATTTAGGGAAGGACCAAATGAAGAAGCACAAAAATTTTATAAGTTAGTAGAAGAGGGACAACAAGAGTTGTATCCAGGTTGCAAGAACTTTTCACAACTTTCTTTCACCATTCGGTTGTTTCTCTTCAAATGTGATCACAAGTTAAGTAATGCAGCATTTTCCGACCTATTAGAGCTTATAAGGGATATGCATCCTGAGGCAAAGTTGCCATCGTCTTTTAACCAGGCAAAGAATGCGTTAAAAGTGTTAGGTCTTGACTATACTAAGATCGATGCATGTCCTAATGATTGCATGTTATATTGGGATGAGTATGCAGATGCAACGTGTTGTCACATCTGTAAATCTTCTAGGTGGAAATCTAATAATGAGGATGGCATTAATAAAAAATGTCGTCAGATTCCAGCAAAGATTCTAAGGTACTTCCCCGTTAAGAAAAGGTTGCAACGATTGTTTATGTGCTCAGAGACTGCTAGTTACATGACATGGCATGCAAATGGGCGGCCTATCGATGGGCTCTTACGCCATCCAGCTGATGGTGAGGCGTGGAAAAATTTTGATTTACTTTATCCAACTTTTTCTAAAGATCCCCGCAATGTGAGGTTAGGGTTAGCCAGTGATGGATTTAGCCCATTTAACAATTTGAGTATCTCTCATAGTACATGGCCAGTTATACTAATTAACTATAACTTGCCACCTTGGATGTATATGAAGCCAGAGTTTTTCATGCTTGCATTACTTATTCCAGATCCATTTTCCCCGGGTAATGAGATTGATGTTTACATGCAACCATTACTTAAAGATCTCAAATCTTTGTGGGAATTTGGTCTGGACACTTATGATGCTGCAAGTAATCAAATGTTTAGTATGCGTGTAGCTTTGCACTCCACCATTAGTGACTTTCCAGGTTATGCAATGTTATCTGGCTGGAGCACAAAAGGAAAGATGGCATGTCCCTGTTGCCATTATGAAACTTCTGCAACAAGCTTGCCATATAGCGGTAAGATTTGTTACATGGATCATCGTAGATTTCTTAGATAAGGACCACACTTGGCGCCATAATAAGAGGCAATTTCATGGAAAGAAAGAGGATAGAGAAGCACCTGTTCGCTTGTCAGGGACTGAAATTGCACAATTATTGTGTGATTTTAAAAACGATTTTGGAAAGAAAAAGAAGAAAAAGAAGAACAAGGATCAAAATCCATGGAGAAAAATTTCCTCGCTCTTTGATTTGCCTTATTGGCGTGATAACAAATATCGCCATAACCTTGATGTCATGCACATAGAGAAAAATGTCTTTGATAATCTCACAATGACATTGCTAAACATATCTGGAAAGACCAAGGATCACATGAAAGCACGCGAGGATTTGGCAGAGCTTAACATTATGCCAGAACTTCATCCTAAAGAAGGTAAAGATGGTAAAATAGAAATTCCTAAAGCCCTCTTTACGATGACTGCAGATGAGAAAAGGGCATTCTGTCTTGTCATGAAAAATGCCAGATTGCCTCAGGGTTATGCATCAAACATAAAACGTTGTGTGCAGGTTGGAGACTTGAAAATGTCTGGTTATAAGAGCCATGATGCACATTTTATGATGCATTATTTACTGCCGGTTGCTGCGAGTATAACTTTGCATGAGGATGTGGCTGCTCCTGTAATTAGACTGTGTAATTTTTTCAAATCTCTATGGTGCAAAGTGTTAGACCCTCAAGATCTTGACCATTTACAACGTGAAATTGCTGAAACTCTTTGTGAGTTTGAAAAGATCTTTCCCCCATCTTTTTTTGACATAATGGTCCACTTACTCATTCATTTGGTGGAAGAAATAAAGCTAGGTGGTCCAGTTGCATCAAGATGTATGTATGCAATTGAAAGATATTTACGAAAGCTGAAATCTCATGTAAGAAACAAGGCTCGGCCAGAGGGATCGATGGCAGAAGGTTTTCTAACCGATGAGTGCGTAACATTTTGCTCCAGATACTTAAACCATGGATCCAAACCAGAAAGGGGGCAACCTAACAATGTTCGTGAACCGCATTCCATGTTTCCCAGGATTGGCTATCCTCTGAAGGGAAAAGGAAGAACAAAGAAAAATGAACGTTTTGGCTTTAAGATTGACCTTGTGACATGGAATCAGGTGCACCACTATGTCTTATTGAATTGCGGTTGTGATGAAATCGAGAGATATATCAAGTAAGATATAACACTAATACTCTGTTACCACAATTTTTTACAAAAATAATCACTTTCTCATTTGTAGTTAAAACTGAAACAAGTATTTTTACTTTCTTGACAATACTGCAGTGAACATAAAGTCTCCCTTAGCACTCGAAATAAAAGAAAATGGGATACCCTTCACAATCACAACAAGGATTTCATCAACTGGTTTCGGGAGAAAGTTGAATATGAGCTTCAACAAGGGCATGAAGTATTAGGTCATATTAAAAGTTTATCAGTAGGACCTTCTCACTTAGCTAGAAGATACAGTGGATATGCCATCAATGGGTATAGTTTTCACACGATCAAACGTGATGCTAATTGTGTGACAGACAATAGCGGTGTCACATTAACAGCACTAACTCCTAGCTTTGCAAGTAGTAAGGATAGGAATCCAGTGGTGGGAGATGTCACTTATTATGGTTCGATACAAGATATCATTGAAATAAATTATAATGGTGATTTCAGTTTCGTATTATTTAGATGTATATGGTATTATGCTGAAAGAGATCATTATGGGCTAGCTCGAGTTAATCAATCCAAGTTCATTTCAAAAGAAGAGCCATTCATTTTGGCATCTCAAGCAAATCAGGCATTTTATGTTGAAGACCCGACCAAGAAGGGATGGTATTTCGCAATAGAAAATCGTCCTAAATATTACGTGGATGGAGTATTGAAAGTGGAGAAGCTTATTGGAAAAACTTAAAGTGTTGATTAGTTAAACGGTAAGAAATCTAATATTCAAATAATTTCCACACCTTGCTTGATACATATATAAAAAATTAAATATGAATCAGTTTTTTTGACGTAGTACTTTAAATATGAATCAACTTTTTTGACATAGTACTTTTGTAGAATCAGCTCTGGTATGTAGAGTTTAATCACACAATCAGGAACTACTCTTCATTTAGTTTTAAAGAACTAAAGAACTAATGCAGGCATGTTTATGTTCTTATGGGAGTTAATATAAACCCCCTTTCACTTTTAAGAAATTTAAAGTTATTAGTGTGTAATTCATATTGTCTTGAATTGATTTGTGCAGATGGGTAAAAAAAGGAATAACTCTGAGCGGGAAGGACTTGGGAAAGTCACAGAATACGAAAAGCAAAGGATGAAGATATTGGCATCAAATGAAGAAAAAATGCGTGCAGCTGGTTTTAGCACTCTAGCTAACAAGACGATCTTCCAGTCAAACAATGCGATAAGTACAAATAGACTAGCTTATTCACATGATGTATTTGATGATGAAGCGTACAGCCCGAGTGATGATGAGAATGCCGAACTTGACCATCTAAAGGTATGCTAACTCCTAGCTCATTATCTCATGAAAGACAACTACTTTGACATATAATAAATGGTTTCTGGAAATTGTTGTGTGATATATGTATCTATTCATGTTAATCTAATAGGTTCCAAAGAAAGGAAAAGGTTTGAGTAACAAGACAAGGAAGCAGTCACGCGGTGAGCCAAAGACTATGGGAGATGTTGTAAAACAGAGTTCAAAACATCAAAATCAACAGACTCCAGCGACATTGCGTCTTACTTGCAGTTTTTTTATTAAAAAAACAGGAGGAAAGCAAGACCAATAGAACAAAATGATACACGTGCAAGTGGCTGGATAGTATATTCTAGGAAAAGGAAAGGCAATCAAAGGTTTATGGAAACAAATCAGGAGCAAATCAATAAGGAGACATAATATAAAGAAGAGCACAATTAGTGGGATTACTCATTAATGGCTACAGTAGCACAATTTAAGGGATGGGACATCTATATTGATACACTTACTTTATTTATGCAGAATAATCTATTATAAATAAGGTCCTAGACTAGGAGAGGACGATATCTGGAGTCATTACAATAATTTAGAATAGTTGGGCAGAGGTTTATCTCTGTTGGAGGTTGCCTTCTAGGTATACCTTGTCGTTGTTATCTCTTTTTTTTCATTTCCGGAATAAAGAATAAAGATTTGCTATTCTGATTTAAGACCATCCTGCTTCTTTACTCTATCAAGTTGGTCCGACCTGCCACTTGACGATGCCAGCAACTCGCATGGATGAACGAGTCGAAGCGTTAGAGAAGGGTCAGGATGCATTCCGTACAGAAGTCAATCAACAATTCCTCAGTATCCACGAATCCCTTTCCTACTTGACTGGGTTACTGAATCAATCATCACTGGCCAAAGGACAGTTTGACTCCAGCACTAACATTCAGGATGCTTCCACCCTGGATTCATCGAAGGAGAAGTCCACAGACACTACTCCCCATCCTCGAGCCACGTCTCTAGATGATTGTCAAATCCCTATTCACCATATCAAATTACCAATTTTCTCTGGTACAGATCCCATGGGATGGCTAGCACGGGCAGAACAATTCTTTGCCATTCACTGTACTCGAGAGGATTTGAAGGTGGCGACGGCTTTCATTAGCATGGAGGGCCCTGCTTTGCATTGGATTCAATGGCTTCAGCAACACAACCCCCTGCTCTCGTGGGTGCAATTCAAGAGCGAACTGCTCGAAGAATTTGACGGTGAACTGTCCGGCCCCCTGTTTGAACAGTTGGCAGCACTTCGCCAGGAAGATACAGTTGCTGATTTCACCAACGAGTTCCGGGCTCGGTTGGCACAAATCCCTGGCCTCGCATCACATGTTCAATTAGGATTATACCTAAATGCTCTTAAACCGGAAATTCGTGTAAAGTTCCGACCAAGTGACGTGGTTGATCTCCGGACAGCCATGAATGTCGCAAAATCTGTGGAACGGGAGTTGCTATTTTCAGCAACAGGTCGCCTCATGGGCGGCTTCAACAACGCTAAGGAAATTAAAATAAACTGGTCCTCCGATGTTGGGCAAAGTGGGATTGATGGGAGAACACCGTACGGCCCAACTAAACAGTCTTCCTTGTTTTACCCAAAGCCCCGGCCTGATAGATCCACCACTTCTCAGCCTGAAAAGCATCTAGGGGTGCACACCACTTCATCACACGGCCCACCACAACATTTTTCTTCTACTCTCCGACACCAGGGGCAACCTTCTGCGTCAAAACCAGTTCGCCGTTTCAGCAACCGTGAATATTTGGACATGCGAGCCAAGGGACAATGTTTTCGTTGTAAACAACAATATAGTCCTATTCACGTCTGCCCAAATAAATCGCTCCAGATCCTCATTGCAGAGGACGATGAAGATGAACTTTCCAAAGAGATGAACCCAACCGACTGCCTAGAGGTTGATCACCCGCCTGCAGACTCGTCCCAAATTTTTATCTGTGATCTGCCCTTGACAGCACTTGGAGGTATCGATGGACCCAAAACCCTAAAGTTTTTGGGTTGGGTCGCAAACCAGGAGGTGGTTATCATGGTTGACAGTGGAGCTAGCCACAACTTCATCTCGGAGAAATTAAAGGACCACATCAACCATCCCTTGAACGCCACACATCGCTTTGGAGTACGATTAGGAGATGGCAGACAAGAACAATCGTCGGGTAAATACTCACAGTTGCCGGTCAATTTGGGACCAGTTACAATGTCTTTAGATTGCTATTTGTTTCCATTGGGCGGCGTTGACATCATCCTCGGGATGGCTTGGTTGGAGACTCTGGGGGATGTCACTGCTAATTTTGCCAAGCAGATTTTAAAATTTAAGGTGGACGACCAGTTAGTGCAATTGGTAGGTGACCCATCTCTGTCTCGCCTACCCATGACGTTCAATTCTCTGGAACGCATGACTTACATCGATACTTGCTACCTCTTTTGGAGTTTGGATGACGTGTCTCTCTCAACTTATGAAGGTAGTGATATCTCCTTGGCTCAACAAACTCAGTTAACAACATTCTTACATACTCACTGCCAAGTGTTTGGAGAGCCACATGGTCTTCCCCCTTCACGACTACATGACCATCAGATCATTCTGAAGGATGGAACAACTCCAGTCAGTGTTAAGCCATACCGGTATGGGCATAGTCAAAAAAATGAAATTGAACGGTTGGTGGAAGACATGTTGCTTGCAGGTATTATACAACCCAGCTCTAGCCCATTTTCCAGCCCAGTTCTCTTGGTCAAGAAAAAAGATGGCAGTTGGAGGTTTTGCGTTGACTACCGTGAATTAAACAAAGCTACGGTGCCGAATAAATATCCCATTCCAGTCATACAAGAGATGTTGGATGAGCTCCACGGCGCCCGATATTTCTCTAAAATTGACCTTCGTTCGGGCTATCATCAAATTCGAGTGGCTCCTCAAGATGTGCCAAAAACAGCGTTCCGTACTCACTCAGGCCACTACGAGTTCCTAGTCATGCCTTTCGGATTGATGAATGCGCCAGCCACTTTTCAGCAAATTATGAATGACATTTTTCGTCCATACCTTCGACGCTTTGTCCTCGTTTTTTTTGATGACATATTAATATATAGTGTGACGTGGGAAGACCATTTGCAACATCTTACTGTGGTGATGGGCATTCTGAAGCACAATCAGTTCAAGGCAAATGAAAAAAAGTGCAGTTTTGGAAAGACATCAGTAGAATATCTTGGGCATATTGTATCCCAATTCGGGGTAGCTATGGACCCTTCAAAAATCAGCAGTGTGCTTCGTTGGCCCCAACCGCAATCTTTCAAGGCTGTCCGGGGATTCTTAGGGCTCACTGGCTACTACCGTCGGTTCATTCGGGATTATGGTAAGATTGCGCAGCCTCTTACTGCCTTGTTGAAGAAAGATTCTTTAGCCCGATTTCAATGGTCGCAACCTGCCCAATCAGCTTTTGAGGCACTGAAAGCGGCAGTAACCTCTGCTCCTGTTCTTGCAACCCCAGATTTCTCTCTACCATTTCTGATTGAATGTGATGCCTCCGGTACAGGGGTGGGGGCTGTTTTGATGCAAGGACTACGTCCTATTGCATATTTTAGCAAGGCATTGTCCGGTCGCACGTTGGCCAAATCTGCTTATGAGAAAGAATTGATGGCGCTAGTTTTAGCCATTCAGCACTGGAGGCCATATCTTATAGGCAGAAAGTTTGTGGTCAGAACCGACCACAGAAGCCTACGACATCTACTCCATCAGAGAGTCACCACACCCTCTCAACAAGATTGGATTTCTAAGCTCCTGGGATATGATTTTGAAATTACATACAAACCAGGGAAAACCAACAATGCAGCAGATGCATTGTCACGTCAGCATGAGACAATGCACTTATCTGCGATTTCTCTACCAGTTTGGGCGGATTGGAGTGAGTTAGAATCAGCTATCTCTAGAGATGCTTATTTGCACTCTATTTATGAGCAACTCCAACGCGACCCCGCCAGCAGCCCACCATTCCAGTTGATTAATGGGCGACTTTTTTACAAGGGTCGAATAGTTCTCCCAGCCAATTCACCTTGGATTTCGAAGCTTCTAGAAGAATTTCACTCAACACCTATGGGAGGTCACTCTGGAGCCTATCGAACCTACCGTCGTTTGGCCGCGAACGTGTACTGGAAAGGAATGATGAAACGGGTGCAGCAGTTTGTATCTGAGTGTCTCATATGTCAAAAAAATAAGTATGAGACCTTGTCACCAGCTGGGCTTCTTCATCCACTGCCCATTCCATCTGCTATATGGGAAGACATTGTTATGGACTTCATCACGGGCCTCCCTCGCTCCAATGGATTCGATTGCATTTGGGTGGTCATTGACCGCTTCACAAAATATGCACATTTTGTGGGACTACGCCACCCGTTTACTGCCAGATCTTTGGCAGACGTGTTTGCCAAGGAAATTGTTCGCTTACATGGGGTACCACATTCCATAGTAAGTGACCGGGACCCAATTTTCTTGAGTAACTTTTGGACTGAATTTTTTGCCAAGTTAGGCACCAAACTGCGGATGAGTACGTCATATCACCCACAAACCGATGGGCAGTCAGAGGTTGTTAATAGGTGTCTCGAACAGTATTTAAGGTGTTTTACTTCCGAGCAGCCAAAGCAATGGGGTCACTACTTGCATTGGGCAGAATACTGGTACAACACTTCCTTCCAGGGAGCCGCGGGGTATACCCCTTTTCAGACACTGTATGGGCGAGCAGCACCAACACTAGCTCAATATTTACCGGGGGAATTTAAAGTGGCTGCAGTGGCAGATGATCATGAGGATCGCAATGAGATTCTACGGCAGCTCCGTTACAATTTGGAGCGGGCTCAACAGCGAATGGTTAAAGTTGCCAATGCCAAACGTCGCGACTTGGAATTTCATGTGGGTGACAAGGTCCTCCTTAAGCTCCGACCGCACAGGCAGACCACAGTGCAGAAAAGGATCAATCAAAAACTGGCCCCAAGATATTTTGGTCCTTTTGTCATCATCCGTAAATTAAGTGCAGTTGCTTACAAGCTTGCACTTCCCCCATCAGCTAAGGTCCATCCCGTTTTTCATGTCTCCCAACTAAAACGAGTTACTGGAGAACATCCCGCTCTAGCAGAACTTCCAGAGGATTTGGTGGTTGAAGACCCAGTGTTCGTTCCTCATGATATTATAGCTTCAAGAAAAATGAATGGGGTCCATCAGGTTTTGGTTCACTGGGAAGGCAGACCTACCGATGAAGCCACCTGGATGGATGCTGCAGATTTTCGCGGTCAGTTTCCCCACACCAGCCTTGTGGACAAGACTGTTTCCTTGGACGGCGACAATGATACACGTGCAAGTGGCTGGATAGTATATTCTAGGAAAAGGAAAGGCAATCAAAGGTTTATGGAAACAAATCAGGAGCAAATCAATAAGGAGACATAATATAAAGAAGAGCACAATTAGTGGGATTACTCATTAATGGCTACAGTAGCACAATTTAAGGGATGGGACATCTATATTGATACACTTACTTTATTTATGCAGAATAATCTATTATAAATAAGGTCCTAGACTAGGAGAGGACGATATCTGGAGTCATTACAATAATTTAGAATAGTTGGGCAGAGGTTTATCTCTGTTGGAGGTTGCCTTCTAGGTATACCTTGTCGTTGTTATCTCTTTTTTTTCATTTCCGGAATAAAGAATAAAGATTTGCTATTCTGATTTAAGACCATCCTGCTTCTTTACTCTATCACAAACCGTATGCAACATGATGACCCGCACACAATGGGCCCCACATCATTTGCATTGTTGCGTCATAAACTGGTAATAATGTTCTTGATTTAATCATTTCTCCCAGGTCATTCTGTTACTGATTTTATTTTAAATATCACTTCAAAAATAGTTTTTTATATTGTTTCTGTGGTAATGAATAAAAGTCAGAAAGCATGAAAGATGGTCATTCACAGAAGCATCTTTGACGATCTATTACACTAGCTTCTTGTTTCCCTGCATGTCTTTTTGGTTCATTTTCTTAAACCAGATGCCATTGTTTTAATGTAATACCTTATTTCTTTAATTGCAATTAAAGATGACTATAATTTATTTAATTGATCTATTCTCTCGTATATGTTTTTGTAGAAACAAAGTGATCTTAATAATCAAGATCCACCTCAGTCGAAGGTCTACAAGGAATCGAGGCAAAGAATTCCGGGAAAGCATTACTTGACCAAATTTGACAAACCTGCTGAAAATATAGTGAGTTAATAATGTTGTACAGTGACTAAATAAGAATATATATGAACTTGCTAATCAATTTTTTCCTTTCTTATTATTTCCGATTTAAAAAGGCCAAAATGAGTGAGCTACAATTGCAGCAAGAATGTGGAGAAAAAGATAATACACAAGATCCCTATTACCAAGTGATTGATAAGCCTGAACAAAACGGACGTTTACGCCTTCATGGTAGAGGTATGAACAAATCTAAATTGAAGAAATGTGATAAGAATTCTGGCTACATATTTCCAGCAGAGTTCATGGAAAGTGTTAAAGCGGCATTAGTACCAAATATCAAAGAAGACTTGGCACGAGAAGTAACTCCAAATGTGGCATCCATTATACTGTCACAAATAAAGGAAGCGAACCCGGGAATCAATCTTGTTATTCCACAGCTTTGTATCACCTCAAGAGATGAATTGCCTCACGAAGTGAATGGGTCAAATGGGCGACATTCTGATGGAACAGATTCATTTCATAAGGTAATGTTCCTCTCTATATTTTGTTTAAAGCTAGTTTGAAGCCTTACTATAGGAGAGCGATTCTTTAAGATTTAAACTCTGAAAAGATATACTGAACCAAAATCTTTATCTTCTTGGCGATAGAAAACTCTTTCTGAAAAATGTACTGTGAGAAATGTGTTATGCATATCTTTCAAATATAAACTCATTGCTGCTAGTTTATGTGTAAGAATTTGTTGTTTCGATATGTTTTCATTATTCTGGGGAGTTTCGTAGATTTAGAACACAACTATCTATATTTAAATGATCTCATTCATTTCAACAAAGATGCCTGGATAGAGTTAGTCATGCTTTTTGATTTATTTTTGAATTAATACATACTGTACATTGTTGTGTGTTTCTGTACATAATGTTCACCATGTGAAATGTACTCCATGTAAATTTCACTATCAGTGGTATTGTAGATTAAAAATATACTTCCCTAAAGTCTTAGTTGATTCATGGATCTTGGCATTTTGATTTCATTTTGTTCTTAAATTGCTCCATTTCAAGTTTGCTTTAATTTGTCGGGTAACTGTATTCTTAATCTATGCAAGGAAAAGTGTATCCAATGTTTTGAATGATTCTATTTACCTTTCAGTGTCTTCCTAATTTACTCTATTGATTTTTATTTTTTATATTGAAGTGTATTGCAATTGTACATTTTACAGACAAGAGATGCACATGACGAAGAAGAAATGGAATCAAATGACGAATGATGTTTCTCTATGAAGTACTTCTGCAAACGGGAGAGATTTTGGATATGCGAGCACTTTTTTTAGTTAATTATAGTGTAACTTTGGATATGAAGTTCGTGAGCTTGTTCTCAAACTCTAGAATTCCACGAAGATTTAGAACCTACTAGCAAGTACTTATGGCTATTTGATTTTTTGTGATATTTAGCTAGCTGGTGACATTTACAGTGGATTGAATTGGCATTATTTTTTTGACTGGGAGTTGACATTAATTAATCATGTTTGTACGTGCATTATATTCTATTTTAAATGGAGAGCTTATTAATTATGGAATTGTATGATGTTTTATGGATTGGTAGTTTATGCGTGCATGTATATGTGCCTGTATATATATATATACACATCCCACACACATATATTCTTTAAACCGTTACATTAGGTCAAATCTTATCAACCTTACGTATTGTGAATAACTGTTACACATATTCTATAAAGTGTTACATTTGTTTGAGTTAGAACTGTTACTTTTGATTCTATTGTAATGCTTTGATTTTGTTGTAACACTTTCAATAGATCAAGAAAAGTGTTACAATTGATATCAAAACCATTACACACCGTTACAATTGATCAAATGTAACGGCAGCAAATGTAACACATCAAAAGTGTTACAATTAACGTATTGTAATGGTTATTCTGACCAATTGTAACAGTTTTGAGCGTTGCAAAAGACCTCAAAATGTAGTAGTGGTTTGACGCATGATTAATTATAACACAGGGGGGTTTGACGCATTTTTTAAATCACAGGGGGCTAATGCCCCGAATTTTTATTTCACTAGGGGGTTTGGTGCATTAAACCCAAAAACACATGTACCACTCTTACTCTCAAACCCTTCCATTTTTCAATGTTAGCTTGAATTTTCAATTTTCACTTTTACGAGCATTAAGCCGTTAATCAATTTCATTTAGATTTGGGTAATTCTATACACAGCCCCCAATTTACTAAGTACAACCACCATATTTTACAATTCCTAATATATCCTTAACATAGTGTTCCGTAAAAAAGTCGTCATCTTTGAGTGCTGCGCAGGGGAGCTATGGTTCTGCCGCAGCGAACCATGTAGATGAACTGGAATCGGAGTTGCAGAGCCTGTGGCCTTGTAGGAAACGTGGCTCTCTTGCCATGAAATTACTAAATTAGAGTTGGAAAGCTTCAATCTTTCAGTATAGAGCTTCTTCACAAATCATAATATCATTTCACTCATGTTGAAAAGGAAATAAGGTTACATATAAGAATTAGATTCACTAACCCACAAATTCACGCAATCCATACACTAACCCACAATTTTTTTTGTTTCAATTGATTTCTTTTTCATTCGTGTTTCTTCTTTAGTTCTGTAGATTTTCTTCATTGATTTGGAAACCAACGAAATGGGGTCCTTTCCCCTACGCTAAAAATCTGCAACGAAACTCTTCTCTGGTCCATTGCGCCTCAGCCACAGTTCTATTGCTTCGCCCCCTGTGAAGGACTGCTTTCCCAGAGCTTTTTTTCCCTCTTCGCCATGGAAAGAAAGGGCCCAAATGGAAGCTGGATCCTCGGCACTCCATCATCACCGCATGCCTCATCATTGATAGATACCTTCCCTTGATCCTGGTAGCCGGTGGCCGTTTTCTCGCCTGCCGGCTGAGTGGCCACCCCATGTATTCCTTCGATGGAAATAATGGCCAGTAAGGCAGCTGCTTTTGGACGGAACACTATGTTAAGGATATATTAGGAATTAGTAAAATATGGTGGCTGTACTAAGTAAATTGGGGGCTGTGTATAGAATTACCCTTTAGATTTCAGAGCATTTTAAACTTTTAACATCAACCAATTTGGACTTTTTATTGTTCACTTTTTCATATTTAGATCCAAATTTGGATTTGCAAAATTTTCGACATTAGCCACTTTGGATTTTAATGATTCGTTCTTTGATATTTAGACCGGATTTTGATTTTGTTTCTTTCACTTTACTTTCAATTTTTTTAATTTGGTTCTTTCAATTGTCCATCTTCTTAATTATTCTTATACCGGTAATTACCTCAATGAATTATTTTATACTTTTTGTATGGTTAATGCATACTTGCATAAATTGGGAGTAAAGGTGTGCAGTTGAGTGCGGCTTTATTAACCCTCTGGTGAACATACACGAAGAAAGACTCATATACATATATCAAGTCGACGCTGATCCCCTCCCAAATTCAACCTTATTTTCTTCGTACCGCATTGTTGGACTCAACTCTACCAAGAAGGAGAAAAGAAAAATACATCTGAAAATCAAGTAGTGATGCAATACGGAGTATAAAATACGTTGTGCAGCTTGACGTGTCAATGACAACAAAAGTCCTAGGTCCCTTGCCGGAGCAGTCGCTGTTGGGTTGGGAATGTTAGAATGTAAACTTGATTTTGGGCTAAGTTAATAATTGATGTTTGTTGTAATGGGCAAAGCCCAAAATAATTAGGAGTGTTCTAGAGAGAAATGTTCTAGAAAGTTTCTAGAGTGTGAGACTTCTAGAGGCATTCTAGAGAATAATTAATAATAGAGTATTCTAGATAAGGAGAATTCTACAGAACTCTCCACCATTTATTGAGGAGGTAAGTAGTATAAATATGTGTAGTTGTGCTCATTTGTAATCAAGCATCAAGCTAAGAAATCTTCAAGCAATAAAATACAAGTTCTCTCTTCTTCCATCCTCTTCTAATTAGCTAAAAGCTTTTCCTACTTACACAATTATCTTCTTAACGTCCTAAAATACTTAGCCTCTACCTTTAATATTCCTACAAATTGGTATCAGAGCCATGGCTAACGGGATGCAATCCTTTCAATTCCCTCGCCTAACCAAAGACAACTATAGTACTTGGTGCATCCGAATGAAGGCAATACTAGGTTCACAAAAGGTGTGGGATTTGGTGTTGAATGGCTACGTTGAACCGGAGGATGAAAGTACTCTTAGTGCACTCCAAAATGATGCATTAGAGAAGGCTCGGGAGAAGGATCAAAAGGCAATGACTCTCATTCATCAATGCTTGGATGACAATCAACTTGTGAAGGTTGCAAATGCAACTACTTCAAAGCAAGTTTGGGAGATTCTTCAAAATACATATCGTGGAGTCGTAAAACGCGTTCGTCTCCAAACACTTAGAGGTGAGTTTGAGTCTCTTCAAATGAAGGAATCCGAGTCTATTTGTGATTATTTTGATAGAGTTGAGAAG